GTCTCACCGACCCCCTCTTGACCTTCCCCTGGATCCAAGGGTGTGCCATGCAAATTTTGGCTGCTTTAGCTCTTACAGGGACTGAATGCATAGAGAACAAACAAACATATAAACAAACAAACTTTCTTCTTTATATATATAGAAGATACTATTGCATAAGGTTTTGTCTTAATGATGCACTGTGGATATGGGATTGATCATTACATAAATCGTGGCTCATAAATAGGTACTTGGAATTTTTTCATGTTGAGTAGTTTATGGACTGACTTGTAATCAGAACATCAGTTCAAAAGCAAAGCCCATGTATGTCACGAGTGAATCATAGAAACCCATCATTTTTTATCAGCATTTTCTGAAAAAGTCAAAAAGTGACCATATCTTTCAAGGAATTCCCTAATACTATTGTATCTCAAAAGCCACTGTTCTGAAGAGGTGCAATTTTTGCATCCTTATTACCAAACCCTACTTCTTTTTTTGCATGAATTATTTTAGAAACATACTACTCGATAGAGCGCAGAATACGCTACAAAATGGACTATTTTTTTTAAATATCCGAAACAAACCATAGAAATCCCTCGCGATACATACCTTACTGCGAGTCACTCATTTTTCGGAGCATATGTTCAGTAGATGTCGTTTTCTCCATCATAACAAAATCAAAGTTAGCTTCCAGATAAATCATTAGAAAGAGCGTCCAAAACTGCATCGTATATGCCAATTCAGAAGTTTTCTTTAAAAGTATTCGGAAGTTGTTTTTTCTCGTCACTATGGTATGAACATCCATAGTCTGTGTTGTCTGTCGGATCTATGATTATTCATACTTGAACTTTAATTTTCTTCTAATCATATAGGTTTGTAGAAAATTGAATTCTCTACAACGCCGACTATGGGTGTTCATACCATAGTGATGAAAAGAAAACCCACTCCCGAAAACTTTTAAAGAAAACTTCTAAATTGGCATATACGATGCAGTTTTGGACGCTCTTTCTAATGATTTATCTGGAAGCTAACTGTGATTTTGTTGTGATGAAGAAAAACGACATCTACTGAACATATGCTCCGAAAAATGAGTGGCTCGAGTCGAGGCTGGTGGTGGTGGCACTAGCGGTGGTGTTGGCGTACGTGATTGCTGGCGATGACGATAGATCTGTTCAACGAGCTCAGTAAATGCCTCATCAAAAGGTAGTTTGCCACTAAAATTAACACGATTATAGGCAGCGACAATAAATGCGAGCCATCCTTTCGGCTCATAATCTTTATCAATTTTTAATGGTATCAAAAGTCGTTTGGTTTCATGAGCGTAGGTTGCTTCTACTTGACAAGATTGTCTTTTGTAATACTTATCGGACACGAATATAATCAAAAACTGCGAACGTTCAACGCTTTCAGACATTCGTTCTCTCGTCGAGCCGTACATCATTTTCTTGTCTAACCAAACTTTGAAGTTATGAGGAGGCAGCGTTAAACGTTCATAGATCTGATTGCACAGCTGTTTAGCATCATGCTGATAACTCACCGTAGCATCATATAGAAAATCTTCTGTTTCAGCTTTTTCTTCCTTCTTAGCAACAAGAATCTGTGGTTCAAATAGTAGTCTCCAAAGAAAACCGTCAGCTGCTTCAGTTTCCAGTACGTCTTGCCTTCGCGATGTCCATCAATAAGGCTCAAGGACAATCACTTAAGATTGCTGGTATTAATCTAGAGACTCCTTGCTTTTCCCATGGCCAGCTTTACGTGGCGTGTTCAAGAGTCGGAACTGGAAAAAATTTATATGTTTTTGCTCCTGATGCGAAAACCAGCAACATTGTATATCAAGCAGCTTTGCAATAAAAATTATTTTTCATTGGACGGTTTCTCTTAAATAAAAGTAGTTTTATAAAGAAAATTGAAAAGAAAAAAGATATTTATGAAAATCTCAAAATATCAAATACTAAAAGTTGAGAAGGAAAAGATCCAAGCGTATTGTGCGATATCCCC